GCCTCAGCGACCAACCTCTCCGACTCTCCTGCAGGGATAAACGGCACAGTAGAAGGCCTGAGCACGATAGCATCCAGAGAACCCACGAGCCCCCGACATACTCCTCAACGTCGCTACTCTCCTCAGAAGCATCATCCTCCTCCTGCTGCTGTTGAGCCTCACCAGCCTTCTTCTCCCACTCGGTGAGTTCCTCCAGTACCTACCTTCCCACTTCCCCCCCAAACCACCACCAATGCCCCCTTACATCCTCAGCTTGCCTCCTAGCCTCCTCCCTCTTCCTCTCCACTCCCCTCTGCATAAACTTCATCCCCAACAGGCCACCCTTGCCACCAGCTTCCTCCTCCTCCACCGCATCTACAACAACCCCTGGCCATCCCCTCAATACCCCTCCCCCCTCCTCTCTACCTTCTCCCCTAAGAATCGCCTCCGCCTGCTTCCTAGCCTGAGTAACAGCAGCCTTCACAGGATCCGCCTCCACGTCACTAGTCGATGCCTCCACGGAGTCTACCAAAGACCATAATAGCTCCTCCCTACCATCCTTCTCACTACCTTCCTCATCATCATCCGAGTCACTATCACCATCCTCCCCATGCTTCCCTTTAATCGCCCTCTCGAGCTCCTTCCTAGCATCCGAGGCTGCCTGGGCTTGTCGAGAGACTTCATTCCTCATATCAGAACCACCAAACCTACAACGACCACTCCATCATCTCCCCATCCTCTACAACCCCACTCACCTCTGTGCCGCCTTAGCCCACTTCTTCCTCGCCATCGACTGCCGCTGCAGTCGTACCTATTTTACACTTTTTTCATCAGATTATCTCCCCCCTACTTTCCTACCTTCGACAGCTTCTTCTCCAACTCCTCCCTCAACTTAGCAGCCTCCTCCGGATTGGACGCCTCCAACTTCTCCAACAACCTGACCACAACACCCTTCCCTCCTCCTCCCTCTCCCCCTTCCCTACTTCTCCTGCTCCCTTTCATGACTCTTCTTCTGCAGCTTATGCCACGTTTTACTCTTGATCTTATTCAGCCTAGCATTCTTCCTCTGCTCCTGAAACATCAACCTCTTCAACCTCGCCACCGTATTCCTCTCCTCCGCCTTCTTCAGCTCCGCTTCTCGACCTGCCACCACCACAACCACTACTGTCTCTGCCCCCCCCTCCTCCCACTCACCAAAGGGTAACTGATGGCCATCTTCCGTCGTCTGCTTATCCCCACTAGCAAACACATTACTCTCCTTAACCGCTGCTGCTATCGCCTTCTCCAGCTCGTTCTCTACAAGGGACACACCAACATCACCCAAGTAGTTCCCGCCCCCAAGGACCCATCTAGCTTTGAGAAATAACGTTCCCTAGGGTTCGACAACAGCGAGGAAAATCTTCCTAAGGAACTGATTGAAGAACGTGTTGCTAGCCATACGTGGGGAATTCCAACTGGATGATTCCCTGGTCCCCCCCTTACCTGGTCGGAACGATGACGACAATAGAGCAGTATTAGAGATCTGCGTCGCCCCCAGCCTGGCCCTCTGTTCCCCTGCAATGTCTATCACTGCAGCATTGTTAGCATCATGCACAGCGGGCATCCACTCCTTCTCTGCTGTGCTCTTGGCGCTGTCGTAACGGACCTCTCGATCAGCTCGACGCCTCATCGACTCCGGAAGGTTATCATTCTCATCCACGCCAGCCGTAGAGGAGTTCACAAGGCCCAATTGCTTTCGCAGTTTACTCGAAGTCGGGGCTGGACAAAAATACCCTTCGTATTCCCTTCGCAGTGCGGAATAGTCGTACCCTTCTGTTGTTGCTGCTCCTCATCCTCCTTCTTCCCCTTATCATCCTCAGCCATCTTCAAGAGCTCCCCAAGGAGGTTACCTCCTCCTCCCTCACTCTCCATCCCAGCCGCTGCTGCAGACCCTTCTGGTAGGAATCCAGACGAATCCAAGAAATCGAATTTCCTCGAAGACCTAAAGAAGACAGCTCCACCAGTACAGCGACGAGATGCCATACGAAGCACTAATACGTGTATTACTTCTTCTCCTCCTCCTCCTCTTCAGCCACCCTCCGCCCACTCTTCCCAAGCTGATCAATACTCTTCATAAAGGCCGCCTCAGCCTCTGAGTCTAGGGAGGATATGTCGGTACCAGCAGAAGAGGCGGCGTCATCATCGTCCGAGGCGATGGACTCATCATCGCTTCCCTCCGTCCCCTCTCCCCCAAAGTCCAAGAAGTCTTCCAGTTGGATTTCGTCCTCCTTCCCTCTGGACTTAGCAGGCAACTCCTCCTCCTCCTCTTCCTTCCCCTTCCTCTGTAGAGGCTTCAACACTTGGCGTTGCTTATTCGCCGAGCCCTTCGTGACGAGGTTCTTCTTCTTCCGCTTCCCAGCGTCCCCTCTATCAGTCTTGCGGCGCTTGATGGTTGGTCGGGCCATAATGACAACTGCAGCACAGAACCGATCACAGCATTGATACACTACAACGAAAGAAATATCTAAATCGATCAACTGATCGATTTGACCATCATGTGCCTCCATGTGGCGTTAACTTCTGTTCACTACTATACCTCCTCAACGCCCTCTGCAACCTCCTCGTCTCCTCAAAAAGGATCGGGAACCGTTCTTCATCCAAACTGCTCCTCGCTGTCACTACCTCCTTTACTACACCATCCGGTAACACAGCCTTCTTAATGCCACTCGAAAACTTCACTGCATATCTTCCTTCCTCCAGATCGGCTACTACTCCACACAGAGATCTATTCACACTATAGAGCCGTACAAGTTCCTCTCGGCACTGTTCCATCGCACTCTCCTTCTCCGTACGGTACCTGCTAGAAGAAAACTCCACCGGGCGAACCGTAGCATTCAACACAATCATATCGTAAGTGGACCTATTCTGAATCTTTCACGGTCAACCTTAAGATTCTCACCGTAAGAAGGCTCGCTTCATTTTCCCCATTCGGGCATCCATGTCCGCCTGCCAATACCTCCACTGCATCTCCTTCGACCGGAGTGCCTCCTCATAAGCCACCCTCTGCTCCCCTAACTGCCTCACTCGCCGCTCCTCAGCACGATACAAAGAAGAGCGGACGCTATCACGATACGAGGACTGGATTTCTGAACGGCATATGAGTGGTATCTTAGGTTGCATCACACAAGATTCAAAATAGGTCCCCTCCCACCACCTACTTCTCAGCTGTTCCACAAGGCCACTGAGCTTGCCAGTGAGCTCATTCTGATGACTGCTGAGGAACGCATCCCTCATGAGCTCCTCCAAGCGAGCAATCCTCCCACCCATCTCCTTCTCACTCTTCTTCCTCTCCTCCCTCGCCTCCTCCGCCTCCCTCGCTGCTCTCAACTCCCTCTCCCTACACTTCTCCATAAACTCCAACTTCTCCCTCCTCATTGCTTCCTCCTCCCCCAACTGTTCCTCCTTTGACCGCTGCCACCGACACTTCAGCTCCTCGGCTCTCTCCCCAGCTTTCTTGGCCTTTTGCCGTTCAACGTCGCACTGCACTCGCAAACCCTCGGCTTCGTTTCCAATGGCATCTGCCTCCTCAACATATTTGCCGCTTTTTCCATCAGTATTTTGCCCAACTGTCACCAATGCTACCCTCTCTTCAAGACCGCTATTCGCACTTAGTGCCAACTGAGTCTTCAACTCTGCAATTTCCTGCAGCAACCTTCGGACCGTCAAGTCCTGTAACTCCCCACCGATGCTCGAATACCCAACAATCGGCCTGTTGCAGACGTTCTTGCCTAAACTTCTCCGATTTCTAGCGGAGCGAAGCAGCAGTAACCAGACCCACATCGATCAGCGAACTGCAGTGCATTGAGAGACTCCTGATACATCGACATCGTCGGGTTAATAGTGCAGAGGAGTGTTGTGAAAGAGTTGCCCCCCAACGCCGATGAGAGAAGACGGGTCAATTTCGAGTCTCTATAAGGTACCTAAAGGCCAGGCAGGACTCAGTGACATAGCCACCAGAATCTACCAAAAAACAACAGCACCAGTGCCCCTCCCTCGTACATAGCAATGCTCCCGTTGGTGCTTCCCTCCTCCTCTACTGTGTATAACCAAAGCTAATATGACCTTGCTGAGAGCCGACAAGCTGCTGTTCACCACAACCGCCTCTTGGAACCTCTTCCCTTCATTTCCACTTCTAGCCGGCCTCTCCGAACCGGCCAAGTCCACAAAGTTCAGCACCCCCGATATCACCTCTCCCTTTCTTCCCACTGCATGAGACTCTCGAGTGACGAAATTTAATGAGAATATGGTATGGCTTCGGCTCGAGACCGCATTGATAGCCGTTTCATGCGTAGCACGAAGCGCGCTGCCTCTACGGACCTAATCGCCCCTATCATTTGGGGCAAGCAGGCAAATCTTGCTCATCTTACGATATCTAGCACTTCCTCAACGCTCCGTATTGGTATGAGCGTGAGGTCTTTGACGAATACTTGCCCGGTGGGTGTCTCGTGAATCTCTAAACTCTGCGACTCCCATTCCAAATCCGCTCGAATTGGTGACTTGAACGAAAACTGAGGACAAGATCACTCTCTGACCTATTCTGAATCTTGCATGCTCAGCCCCAAGATACTACCCCAGTGGCACTGCTAGGCCTCGCATCACTCACAAGACTGCTCTTGCTACCCCTACCATGCTGACGTCCTGTAGGAGCGCTCTCCGGGCGTTTCCGTTCGGCCCCCACAGTGGCCAAGCCTAGGTCACGAATCTGACCCGAAAGGCAACTATATCATCACCACCACAGCATCTTACATGGTCCAGATAAATCTCAGCAAAGCTTGCTACCAATGCGCACTCTCTAGACTCTGCCGCATGAGCGATGTTCTTGAAAAGATACCTCACAGCCCTCGGTAGAATCCCCTCCCAATCGCTGCCAGCAGCATCGGACACCTTTCCCCCCCTCACAAGGCCAGGGCCGAACATGGAATGCGTCTTGCCGCTGCCGGTCTGCCCATAGGCGAAGATGCAACCGCTGAAGCCCTGCAGGAGGCGATCTACCAGCGGCCTACCGCACTTCTCAAAAATTTCACTTTGACCAACATCAGGAGAGTGAACTGCTCTGAAGTTGAAATAGTGTTCACAACGGCCATTCGAAAGAGGGTCTCGGACTGTCAGAACGACCTCTGAGCCAACCGATTCTGCGATATCATAGATTTCCGTCCATGGCGGTTCTGCTGAACCACCGAAAGGATCATAAGGGGGCCGGAGACGAATATGTACTTGGATATTGCAACTGCCGGTAGAAGTGAAGAATCTAGAGGTTGGGCATAGAGGCATCCAGAAGAAAAGATACGGCGCTGAGTTGGAGGAAGAAAAAGCATCCCCATAGCGTATGCCCGAAAGCTGCGCACAGCGAAGATTTTCAGATGCCTACCCGGCAGGGTCGAGTTCAGCACCAGCCTCAGCAGGCAACCAATGAACACCAAAAGCTTAATACTCTCGAGGAACGAAGAGGCATCCGATGAAAATATACCGGCCGCTCCAAGCAGAAAGACGCAACGCTGGGCACGGGCAGAAACACATGGGATCACAAACCGAATTTGAAGATCCTACGTCTGACCGTCGGGAGGGGCTCCCCGTCGGCGCCGAGGCTCTCCGAAGCGTCTCCGATCTCTTGGCGGCTTTTAATATCCTCGAGGCGACTCCGGAGGGCTTCTGAATGAGCTCTGTCGTCTATTGAACAGGGAGTGGTTAGATACCTCCGAAGGGCTGAGGTCTGAAGCCTCGTACAGCACTGACGTCAGCACTCCACAATATGGATGGTAATTGTCGTTGCTCGAGGAACATACCCAGGACCAGGCGAGCACTAATATAGAGGAAGCTCTAGCGATAAGAAACGCCTCGATGAAAAAACGAAAGTGTTTAAGGCTAAAAAGCATGTTAAGAACGGTAAGATGCCTCCTACAGCGTCTACAAGCCCGGAGGTACAATAGATAGAACTACAAGCGAATAAACCCAACCAGGATATCCCTTCCCTAGTAGTACTGCACTGGTCCAAGGTCGGCAACGATGATGCCTGCATCCAAAGTCACAGGTGGGCTCACACCGTAATGTCCTCCACTAGTCGCTAGATGGTATCTGAGTACATACGATCAACAGTGTATCACCTCACCAATCATTACAAACGTTCATCATAAATGATATGAGCAGCGGGATCCTTCAACTCGGGAGCATCAATGGCGAGGCCGATAGTAAGGGAATCAATGAGGCTGCGAGCCAGCCATGGAGACCGATCCTTTGTTCCCAAAAGATGCCAAGAGAGTAACTGAGGAGGAGACAATAATATCTACAGGCTCTCAGCCTCTCAATTTGTATTTCTATACGTTGGAGATACATCGTTCATTATGATGACATATCCCTTCTATATTGAGAGATGTAGCTCGCACTCTTTTGGGTCTCCTGTCCCCGCAGGATGAGCTCATCGCGGACACGCAACGAAAGGTAGCATTGGCTACAACAAGACACAAAGAATGTTGGACTTCGAAGTTATGAGACAAGTTGCAGGAAAGGAAACGAAGACTAGGCGTCTCTCGATCAGCGAGCGCCACAGCCTGAGCTCTTCGAGCCACTCACTCAAGTCGAGGGCTCGACAAATTGCATCATTCAACTTGATAGGCACTAGAGCAAGTGGTCGTAGAACCTATCCACGACCTCAGATGAGGGAATAACCAGGGGCGGAATGAGAGGCATCGGTCCAGCTCATTTGTGAATACAATGCTCCAGAAGAAGCTTGCAGTCTTCCCTGTCTTGGAAGACGCTTCGGAACCGTTCCGGCCCGTGTGATCGTGCCAAAGTCTCGCTTCAAGACTGTGTGACGCCATTCGTTCTTGTTGGTGCCTCGCAGAGACGGTAAGATGCTCCTTCTTTGCTCCCGCATACGAAATCAGTATGACTGGCTGAGTTGGACAAGCAGCCGCCCTGGACGTGATGCATGAGAATTTTCAACGCCGCCCTGAAGTCCGGAGTGAATAATTTGGAGTTCACGGACAACGGAGGGAAGGGTAATATCCGCAATAAATTTCCGAAGATATACGTGACACAAATCCGCTGCGATTCGTAACGCTTGTTCGTAACTTACGAACAAGCAAATAACCTGGTACCTGGCTGGTAGCGAAGCAATGGTTAGATCGAGAGGCTTCGGACTTCTTGAGAGGGCAACCCACCGTGTAGTATGCGGTGGAACATTTTATTCCGAAACCCGAACCCCGGCGCACACTGGACTGTGGAGACTCTCCACTGGAGAGTACGGAGCCAGCATCAGTAAAATTATCTGTGCTAATTTCTGAGGTCCCTTCAATCGACAGGTATGTCGAACGAGGCGGAGACCCGTGATTTGGGGTGACCTCAGGCATGGCGCGTCACTTCTGATTTGTCAGAGTCATAGGCCAACGAATAACTGCAGCTTAAATTTTCCCAAATGAATTTTCCTTCCCAACTGAAGGCTCCACCTTCAACCATCTACGATGCTAGAAAGCCTCTAAATAACAAGTGGAGCTCACCTCGAGTTTAAAGCCATCCTCGTTAGCCATCATGAACCTATCCCTGTTGTATCCATCCACGATAGTCGGTATCCCCAGCTTGGCCCGAGTACCCCCACCCACTGTTCGGGCAACGGCTCCCGATACTCCTACGGCTCCTGATCGGAAGGGTATCATTTTTATCGTAGTTTAGCACGAGGCTACGTGGGTCGATCGTTATGGCGCGCGCGTGTATTTCGACATATACTAAAAATTGACAGATTATGGCGTTACTCATCTTGTTCAGATTACCTTTCCAGGCCCCTTTCAACCATGAATCCGACCTCTCTGATCGTTGCGGCCCTCTTGGGACATCGGGCGGATGGCAACCTCAGGTAGTATTTTGGGGTCGTCTATGATGCAAAATAGGTTGTCTTAATAGAACGCATATTCCCCTCCTCGGCCACCATCCCCTCCGTCACGTATCCTTCAAGATTTGCGAGCAGGACAAGTTGGACGCATGCGTAGTAGAGAAGGCCCGGGTGGACCAAATCGCCGTGTCCTCTCCCACGGAAACTGCGGCCCATGGTGGTGTTAAATACTACACCTTAATCAGGGTAGCTCTTTGGGTTGCCCTTGTTAGCAGCCATGGAGCCTCCTCAGGCCGTTGGGAAGCTGACGAAGTGCCGGGTACAGTACATTAACCCCGCTAGGGGGAGAGCAATCTACTGGTGTGACAGTAGGGAGGAGGAGAGGGGACGACCAACCATTACACTGTACTCAACAACGGGTCGGCTGTGGGATGAACTCTATTGTCAGGCATAAGGGCAATCTCCTCGTCTTCATTCCTGGCCGCGATAAGGACACGGGAGAGGTCAGGACCTTCACCGCCCGGCTCGGACTACTCGGAGAGGCTAGTCTAGAGAAAGGGAAGGATCTCGAATTGAATGTACGATTTGGTCCAAGGTAGCGTTATGGGATTCCTTAAATGGTCAGTACGCTATAGACCTCCGGAACTGCGAGGTGACTTCGGCTGAGGAGCTCCACTGCCAAGAGCCCATCCCCCACAGTATTCGAATCGAGTCAGGATTCACAGGTGCTGACCAGAATGTAGTGTAATAGTGTCTTCATGTAGTTGTTGTGCTGCTGCTACTACTACTCCTGTTGTTGTGTTATCGACTGTTGTTGATGAAGTGTAGGGGATATACTGTGCATTATGTCTACTACCACTCTCCGTTCCCCTTATCCAGCCAAAGAGGATAACCTCTCATATCAGTTATGTGATCTAGCTGCCTTCGACATTGAACACATCGATGCCAAGAAGGATGACCTCGAGGAGATTGGTAATACACTGGGCTGGGGGGGGGTCTTCACAGCTTCCTCTCAGCTCGGGATAACACCCAGCTCCTCATCAATCGTATTTTCGACCTACGAACGGAGTCTGCTGGCATCGCTGAAGGGCCCGTCTTCGCTACTCTGCCGGAGGTAGTACTAGTTCTCAATTTCGTGGCGCGTGACGGTGTGGTATTTGTTCAGGCAACTCAGCTGGCTCGCCAGCCCGATGGTCTGGTTGTCAGACTCCCTCGCGAGAAGCCACTGCCGAAACCCAAGCCGATGAGCAGGTACTATGGAGGATCCTCTATGCTTTGATACTGATGGCTCTTTAGGTGGGAGAAATTCGCGAAGGAGAAGGGCTTGGAGGATAAGAAGAAACGCAGTAGAATGGTGTGGGATGAGACTTCTAAGGACTGGGTCCCGAGGTGAGGTCACTGGTCCTCAAAGTGTTGAGGAGACTGGGATGGTCAGGTGGGGTCCTAACTCTATCAAGCACAATCAAGAGAAGATGAATTGGCTGGTGGAGGTCAACGAGGATCGTGGAGATAATCCGTAGGAAGACGGTCGCGGGTTCGATCCCTGGAAGGGGTGTTTTTCCGAAGGTATGAGGATCCATTCGCCAAGCAGAAGGCTATTGAGAAGCTCGGGCAGGCGAAGCAAAAGGTTCGCGAGATGAGGAATAAGCTCGAGGGAGTTGGCAAGAAGATGCCGGCCGGTGCGCGTCTCGGATCGCACACTACTTGTTGATGCTTGTTGAAGGTATATCCGGTGGTCCCGAGTTGGGGTCTATCAAACGTGGTACGATCAACCTGAAGGAGAGCTTGGCTCGAGCACAGAAGAGCTCAGCGTCTAGTGGGAAGTGAGTTGATGCTAGTCTGTTAGTTATCGTAATTGTGGCAATAGGTTCGATAAGCGACAGAAGAACGAGAAGGAAGTGCCTGTCGCGAAGCGTCGGAAAGTTAACACTGCTGTAGGGCGCCTCTTAGTGCTCGATAGCGTCTCGATTCATTGGTAATCAGACTCCTATGAATGAGGAGAAGTCGAAGAATCTCGCGGTCATCGGTCGCTTGTTGAAGGGTGAGACCACATCTGCTGGTACGGTGAAGGTTGATAAGAAGAAGGCCGCCGGGTGGGGGCAAACTTTACATGAGGCTGCCCGGAAGGAGGAGAAAACTCAGAGCGGTGTATCGAAGAAGTGATAGAGACATTGGAGGGGTGTATTTTCTGGGAATTCGGTTGGTTGTGATTCAGGAAGAAGGCACATCGATGAACGGTTTAGTGAAGCTCGCCAGCCCGCGGCTGTTACGGTTTCTCTTACCAACGTTAGATCCACAGTTTCACTACTTGGTTTGACTTGGTCTTTAGTAAATCGACCATCAATTAGGGATGAACTTCATTTAATGAAGGCAGTAGTGGGGATCAGGCTCCGCATTAGAAGGCTGGTGGTTGCCGCTGTAAGACGTATCAGCCGTTGGATTCCGACAAAGTGACGATTCGAAATCCGTAGCTCTTTCTGATTTACACTCTCGTCGTAGCGGGTTATCGCAACTAGAGTGCGATGGTCCATCGTTTGGAGGCGCGTTCGCACTCTACGTGTTACATACTGTCAAACATAGGATGTTTCGCGTGTTCCCCCAGGGAAGGATCTCAAGTTGATTGAACTGAAGAAATTGTCGTACGCGCTTAAACAATTGCTGAGATGAAGCCGGCAAAAAATCGAGTGAAAGTTAGTGAGGGTTTGGTGGACGATTCGACCAATGAGGATTTCATCCTATTCCGTGCTGAATTCTGATTCTTTTATTCAACGCTGGAATGGTCTAGTTGGTTATGACGACTGTCTAACACGCAGTAGGTCCCGAGTTCGATTCTCGGTTCCAGTATTACGAAGTATACTCAGTGTTCTCCTATCGTAGCCCATCGATAGCAACCAAAATTAACTTCCGATGTAGTCTAGCTGGTTAGGATTCGTGGCTCTCACCCACGCGACCGGGGTTCGAGTCCCCGCATCGGAACTTGTCTAAACATTTTTTTACTTTTCCCGATGTGCACGATATTTTCCTATACTCCACTTTCATCAACGTAGCCTCCAATACCTTCCCTCCACGCACGAAACAGCCGGCACGTCAAAAACAATCATCATTCCATATAAATTCTCCGCTACCCATTGGGTTGTCCCTCCGACCTACAAGAATAGACTGCCAATGCCGCCACCATGTCGAATGAAGATACCGGAGAGCTCTTGCTTGACGGAGTTTACTCTTAGTACAACACGGACATAATAACGAGCTAACACCCAATAACCCCGACCTATTGACCAACAACAGATCACAGGTGTAAAGGTACAGGATACAGACCACATCATAGCGGTCTTCGGATACAGAGGTGATTCTCGTTGGCAACCATCATCAGCACCACGAGATGAAATTTCATCGTTTTGATCGGTCTGCACCAATCTTCACTGCTTTTCCTGACGAGCTCGCTGCTCAGGAGTGGCTTGTGGAATGGGAGCGTTTCCGTGCACCATCGGGTTCATACTCGGATACACCCCGGATCCTGCTGGTGCCAACACCGTTCTGAAAGCGGAACCATCAAAGTGCATTGCTCCAGTGAAACGGCATGTCACGACGACTATTCTTTGCCCCTGTACTACTGTTTGACGGCAGAACCCTCTGCAGCAGCCTTGACTAGGGCTGACGATCCAGCCGATAGTCCTCCGCTTTTCGGCTTAGCCCAAGAAACTCGGAGGCGCTGAGAGACGACATTTCCACTGACAAAAGAATCTACAAATGCCGATGACACTTACGGCTCCGTTTATAACAAGGTTGCTGCCGCCCTTCTCTGCAGCGGCCTTTTCAGCTGATTGGCGCCCAGTGAATTCGACGAATGCGCCTGAAGCCGCTAGGAACTGATGGCGACTCCCTCACTGATTCATCACTCACAGTTGGATTTCTCCACAAGAACGATCGAGTCGATCTGGCCGAACTCTTCGAATTCCGCACGAATGTTGCTCTCCCCGATCTGTGCATTTGGATCGATCCCACCTACCAAGGTGATATTGCTGGCAGCATAACCATGGCTTTTCGCCAGACGCTGGTGCACGACAGTACTAACAGCAGCCCATCCTGTAGTACCAATATACAAAGTAGTGATGGAAGTATCCTCCGGAGCTTCCAACTGGAACTTCTCGGCTGCCTGCTTGAGTATCTTCTTGGCCACAGGATCATCAGTACCATGATACCTGATGGTGAGTATAACTCGATGCCATCTTCTAGGTATGGTCCCTCTGTACACCCTCCTGACCTGTCTCTTATATTCTGGTCGTTCAGATCATTCCCCTCGGGTTTGGGCATCTCATGCCGGTACCTGGAAGTCGCAACGATGAGCCCTCAGCCACCTCCAGTCGGCGATACTCCTACGGGCATTCGTCTCCCCTGTTGCATGTGCCCTTCACGAAGAAGGAGCATATACGTGCCTGGTTCCGCTCGTAATATGGCGCTGTTCTGGCCAACTAACACGAGAGAGCATCGGACCAGTATGAAGGGAGACTTCCTTACCTTCTGCAACATAGGATGATGCTTGAGTTTGCCATAGGTCAAGGCTGGATTAGCATTTTGGGAGTTGTTGAGTGCTTGGTAGTCTCGACCAACGGTCGATTCAGGTAGACTCAACTTCTCGGCTTCCGACAGGAACTGCACATCATGACCACGTGGTCAAGAGGAGGATGCCTAGAGAGTATCCTACCTTATCTCGGACCTGTACCGGCAGACCAAAATCGAGGTCGAAGATGCACACTTGACAGACGTTCTTCATCCTTGCACAGTTTTGGCAGAGCACAGTCTGCTTGTATCTGCATGGCCTCATCTACTACCTACTCCTCCTCTACTACTACTACCTTCCCTTAGAGCCGGCTTTCCATCGGAACATAGTGTAGGGCCTCTCACATATCTTACATTCATCGCCCATGGGTTCCTTCTGCATTCGTACGTAGGGGTTGTCACCTGTGCCCGGATGATGACAATGTAATACAATAGAAGATGCAGTACCGAGACAGGTCTCGCAGACTATAGGGAAGGTGGCCTCTTCCGCTCCTATGTGGTTCACACCGGATACTATTTGCTCTCCACGCTCTCCCATAGTAACAAGGAGAAAGAAATGTATTGATGCTTATGCAGACAGGATTGGATTGTTGCGTCACGCGCCACGAAATTAAGCTGACGTGTGTGGTGGTGTTGACCTCTCCTCAATTTCAAGAGGATAGAGTTTTACATGTAAAATCTAATCCTGGGAACGCTGTTGAAGCTAAGGAGATGTCTATCGAACAGGCCGAGTTTAACTACGTTGTACATGTGGTTGTCTTAGTAGTTCCCTTCGATCGGATTGACTGTTTTAATGGATCGAGGACTTCTCAATCGAGCTACTGCGGCAGATGCTCACCCAACGCCAGGCTATATGTATCTTGAAATAGCCAGTAATAGAACATCGTTGCTCCAACTGGGCCTATTCTGAATCTTACGTGCTTCGACCTTGGATACGACTCACTGCACTGGTTTTCAGAAATGACGTATGCACCCAATGGGTCGCATCAGCTGGAGGACTACCTCTGCAATAAGATAGTCTCCAAAGACGATGCCAACGTTAAGTTCAAGTGTTTGAGGATAATACGGTAGGGCGGCCTCCTCGGGCGGACCACATCTTTTGAACGCTGCTCCTCGTCATGGTTCAGGAACGTCTTGGATCCTGATGCTCAAGTACAGGCTAGTATGGACTTCAAGAAGAGGATACAACGGTGGGAGCAGATGTGACAGAATTATGGTATAGAAAATGCCTATTATTTCAGACGAGCAGATGTGGTGAAGTCTTGTCGGATGTATCGAGGGCCTGTCGATCCTCTCAGAGGTGATGCTCCTAATAAGGCCGTTCGAGAGGAGGCTGAGGCGGCATTGAAGATGATATTCAACGAGACTACTATTGGCCAACAGCCTCAGCAGCCTACTGCTGCTACTACCGGGTTTCACTCCGCTGGCCTGCATGATCGGATCAAGGTAGTATGATACCCCTTGGCTGGGCTGATTGTGTATCGAAGGGCTTCGGCTCCACCACGGGTGGTCCTGGTGCTCCCCCGAATGCATGGGCAGGAGCCCCTCCTCCTCCTCCCCCACAGCAGCCGCTACCCTATCCAGGTGAGGATGACCTGACTGCACCAACAGATAGGGTATTGCTTCGAGAGCAGGTGGAGTGTATCCTGGTCCACCAGTAACTACTGGCCGCATGCAGGGCTTCGGCAACCCAGAATTCAATAGCTACAATAGCGGCCAACAGGTAGAGCACCCCTCCATGTATCGGTCTACTCCTCCTCCTCTCAGAACTCAGCGAGTAGTACCATAGCGGGCAAGGTCGGGCAAGCAGCGGCCAGTGCTGCCAGTGCTTTATCATCAGCATACCAGAGGTGGCACGGAGGAAGCAGTAGTACGGCTCCATCACAATATGGCGGATACGGGTAAACATTATGAGTGTACACGGATGAGACCATCGTCCTCCTAGGCCTACCCCTGGATACCCCTACTCTGGAGGGCAGGAGTTCAACCAATACGGTCAGTCGGACAGAGGGATGTGGGTGCCCCCGTCAGTTGATAAAGTAACGCCTACACTGGTTGTGGGTGATGGTACTTGCCTCGTTGTTCAGTCTTCTGGTGAGAGAGGACAGGTGACTGTGGCGGCCCCCAGTGAGCAACAGCATCGAACACCCGAGTATCGACTGGTCAGCCAGCTGGCCAGCGGCTCGGTCGCTGTGGGGGTGGGTCTTCAGGGGCGTATGTTAAGGTTGCTCATGTGTTGATTTATGTAGGTGTTCTTGACTAGAGTCAAGGAGGGATCTTCTGACTACGACATGACAGAGATAGCATCGGAACTGGCTGGTCGAATCACTAAGGGCCATCCTCAGGCGAGGCTCCGGGCCCTTAGGGCGGTGGAAGGCCTTGCTGACAAGGAGGAGGTAGTACTAGTGGTGGATGGACGGTAGACATCTTCACTGCGCCACAAAATTGGCAATAGGTACGGGACGTCTGTACTGAGTGCGTTTCCGACCCGCAAGCTCTACCCCAAATCTGTCGAGCTACTGCAGCACGAGTGAGCCGAGCCTTGCAGGGCACCAGTGGACATCGTTCAGCGGCTGCTGCCCCACAACCATCACCGATGCCTGACCTGTTGGATTTGGGCGGAGGGGATACTCCTGTCGATGAACCGGTCAAAGCGGCGGCTGTGGAGAAGGGCGCTGGCGGTGGTGATGATGATTTGCTGCTGCTCGGGGAAGCTGATTTCATGGATGCTCCTATAAAGTCGAATGTCTCGGAAGTCGATCTGTCGGGATTGAACCTGGGCGGATCGATACCCGCAGCGAATAGAAACAGCCAAGAGTTGCTCCCCGGCCTGCAAGGGTTCGGTGATAATCTTCTAGGAGAGCAGTCACCATCTGGGATTCTTCCCGTCCAGCAGCCCTCCTCTCTACTGCCTGATTTGACCATGGGGAGCATCAATGGTACCCAACCCTCCCCGTATCATCCGAACAACTACTCTCTGGGCCGGTCAGGATCAGGTGCTACCCCGGGGGGTCAGCAGTTGGATGATATATTCACTGAGGCAGCCGCTAAGGCAGCAGCTCAGGCCGCTGGGGGGCCGCCACCGCCCATGGAAGTGAGTCGATCGAATTCATTCCAGCTTGGGTATCGCTTCTCCTGCAGGCACATAGTGGCGGTAAACAGTCCTCTGGATCGGCCTTTAGTTTTATTGGCAACGGCAGTCGGAGATGAGGCTTGTATCAATATGAAACTATTGTTGTTTCTCCTGGCCAAGTGGCTCATTGCGTTGATACATTTGGGCTAACTGAACGCAACGCTCGCGAGAAAGGGGAAGTGACCATCATCATTCATGTTCCAGCTGCAAGCCTCTGACAACATTGTCGACCGAGGGATAAAACGTCGCTCCCAAGAGCTTGAATACGACAGACATAATATGTCTGTCGTATTCTCTATATTATAGAGAACCGAACGGCCGCGATATAATGGAGTAGCCTCGAAGGAGAAGACAGCAGGATTTATGACAATTACGTTCCATATCAAACCGTGTGCCGTCAGTGTGAGTGCAACAATTCAAACGCGATCCAGCAGCTTGGTATTGATCTATAGTATCACACTGCAAAACTTATGCGTGTATTCCCTGCTACCTCTGTTGAAAATCGTCGCTGTATGAGCGAACGAGTCTGTGGTGACACGACCCACATACTAAGAAACATAATCACGTATCAGACATTTCCCCTATCTTATTACACGAAATTTTCCTATCAAAGCGAGCACGAATGGGATTTTTTTCCAGATTTTATCACTTCCCCCCACATTCCACTCGCCATTCCACTCAACTGTCAAGGCAACCCCCTATCACATCACTTGCAATCGACTATCCATGGCCCGCAGTTTTGGACATTTCCGCAAATTTGAATTTTTTTTCAGATTTTATCCTCCGACTCGGAGGCTCCGAGTGCTGAGCATTCACCGTGCGGCTCTGACGCTCCATATCTCTCTGCGGTACGCTGGACTGCCGTATATTCTTATGGTAATCGCCGACCAGTTTCTCCAAATTAACATTCGAAGGCGTCAAGCCACTATAGGTGAGCTCGAAGCCCACTACAATTCCAGCATACTCTCCAGCGCATCAGGGGCCTGGTCCAGGGCCTTTTGACCTTCGATGGTTTCGCAGACCCATGTGATTGCCTATAAGAGCATCTCTGGGAACTAGATCCGTTAGCACTCCAGAAGGCTCGCCTCATACAAAAAGATCGGAGGCTTTCATTGTTGCTAGGATTGATGACGGCGGCCCGCTCCACCTCCCTGATCTTCAGTCTCAGGAGGCAATGCCTCCGAGGCATCGCACTGCTCCTCCTCATTGATATCGATGTCGTGCCGAACGGAACATACATCGGAGTTCTCTGTCCTGAGAGGGAAGTTTAACCGAACAGTTATATTCTGATTCCTATACATCTTACTCCGAAAGTATCTCCCAAGCATCGACGGAGTCTATCCTCGTCGGTGGGCCATAGCGGCCTCATGTTGGTGCCGGTATCACCTAGCCCACGGTCGAAGTATTCGTGCCGTAGGTTGGCCCAGCTGATACGGAAGTACTACAAACAAACGGGCAGGTAGGAAAGTGGATTGGAATTTCTGTACATCGACGATGTAACATCGTATTCATTCTGGTGATTGAGATCAGGATTCACACGACGGGAGAGGTCGTTGGCGTTGCGCCAAGGGCATAATTGTGGATAATCGAGATGGAGGGTGCCCAGGAGGCCTGGAAGCTCGTTGCCTTTGGGGCTAGCCGCACTGAGATTTCCCCCGTATTTAAGACGCATGAAAGAGTCATAGACTCAAACAGAACCGCCAGGGGCCGAGAAATTTTCTCAGCTGTACGAAACCAGGGTTGTATGGAATAAAAGTTTTAGTGTGAAGCCTAGGACGTCCTGGACGAGTTGCTGGCGCTGATGTGCTGGGCAGCAAGACGAGGTACTCTTACCGAGGAGGTAGCAGGTGTGCTTGTATGACATTCTAAACAAGTTAATCCTTCTAGAAGCTAGTCAATTGCTCACTGAGTGCTCCAAAGTGCATATTCATTCGCCACCCTTATAATGTTGGAAGCCTGGACAGGGCAAGACTGCAGGAGGGAAGTACTCTTCAGCGCGAGCGAGGAAGGCTCAAATTTTGAAGATCTTATTTCCAACCTATTCCCAACAATGAGTTATTTTTTCGGGGCACTTGGAATTTTGGCCATATCGTGCGTCCGACCTTAGATTTTAGTTCCCATGCTCACGAGTTTCTCGCTTAAGCTATCGTAAAGTTCACGTGACGTGAATCACGTCGTGAACCCGGACCGATTCATATCAGCGCAATATTACAACCCAGATGAGACTGTCGACCTGCGTCTATCACAGTGGTAGAACCACTCAAAAACCGCGGGCTCAGGGGGTAATCAAGAAATAATCAATTAACGCGCATGCGTGCTCATTCGAAAGTTGGGCAGACGTGTTACTTCGTGTGTTCATGAGTTCACGAAATGCAACGCATTAAATGCATCCGTAGCATTACAAAACACTTCGAGCGGAGGGGTTTAGAATGCTGGAGTTTCGGCACTTTTCTTAAGCATGATTTGAAGATAAAACAGTCTCACATTCCGTACTCCGTACTGGCCGAGCCACAGGATAGTATGGATTACGGGCCGTAATTTACGGCTCCGCACTCCGTAGTACGGAGTACGGTACGGAGTCCGTTGGTTCCGTCGAGGGAACTGATTAATAAATCGACTACTTCGGCCCCCTCTTTCGGTTTGGGTAAATTCAGGATTGGGTAATACAAATCGAATTGTTGCGTGCGCCCTGCTAATCGATAATGGCAACGGTCAGAAGGGCCAAATATCCAAGGTTTTCCAAGTTGCGCCGTTACCGCTTTCAATGTACAACGGCATTGGTCTACAGACCGCTCGAGGGAGTGGTACCAGCGGCTATGTAATGATGGACAATCGGCGGAGCGTGAGGCATGATGACAATTAGGTCCAACGTAACAAATCCTACCTCCGGCCGCAAAGGACTGATATCAAACCATTCAGGGAAGCTGAGGCAGCTGCTCCTCCCAAACCCAAGAAGGCTGATCCGGAGCTGATGTAAGTGGGATCTTCAACACGATAGGAGGAACACAGTAGAGTGGAGATAGTGGCTGAGAATCTTCATAGTGCGCGACTGTTGTCCCCCCCGTTAATTGCGAAGAGCATCTTATATTGATATCTTTGGCAGTTATCACAATCAGAAGAGGGAGATAGAGGTTAAATTGATTGACCTGGAGGATACTCTGTTGGAGTCGGGAGAGGAGGAAGGCATAGTCCAGAAAAAGGTAGATAAGGAAAGGCAGAAGCTGTAGTAAAGCGATCGACTATCGCGAACCCTGAATAGACGACGACTTAGATATAAGGAGCTTGACGACCGGAGGGCTGATGCAGAGGCACATGGTGGTGAACTTGAGGCTGATCAATTGGCTTCCACTCATGAGTATGGCGGCGGTCCTGATTGCTCCTCCTCATGCTGATGTCATCAATGGGTAGGTATCTACAAATGCAGGAGCGCCAGGCAGAGAGAGCAGCGAAGGCTTTTGGGATAAGTACGGTATAAGTCGATTGGCTCGGTGGTAGTGAGATGATGCCTGCTTGGGTAGACACGCGGAATCACGAGGAAGGAGTAGCTTTCGATAGGGACCGTCAACATCAACAGAAGTTGCAACGTGAGTTAATGGGAAAGGTCCCCGGTTCGATCCCGAGCGAGGGTATTAATAACAATAATATCACGGCAGGTATGATGGACACCCAAGCTAGACAGGCGGAGCGATGGGCAGCTCCTGGTGGTGAGAATGGTGATGACGGAGTGAACAGGAGGAAGAGCGACCATCGACCACCGGCTAAGGGTAGTACTGGGCTGCGTATAACCCAGAAGGGATATTAGATTGTTTATCGAGTTACTTTCGGGTGCTTTATTGTGACTACTTTGATATTTTACGACCATTGTGTGTCACTATTTGTGTGATTTTGTTGTTGGCTCAGCTGGTG